ACTCTCTGCCCAGGGTCTTCCTCCAGAACAGGAGGGTGCTCAGCCTGCCTGCCTGGGGGGCAGGCTGGGAATGCCACGGGGGTGCACACCCCTGGGAGTAGCCTTCATTCAACCAGTTCCAGGCAGGAGTCGGCAGAAAATACTCTATCTTCCTTACTTCTTGGTTGGCACATGTGGGGGTAGTAGCCTACACTTTCCCAGAGATCCCAGCAGCACGGAGCCCCAACTGGGCACAGCTGTAACCTGCCGGTTAGCACACCTCCCTTGGATCCTCCCCTCCCCACCTCCCTTCCCCATCCTCCACTGGACCTTCCTGGGATCACCTCCCGAGTAAGCTACTTGCCTCCAGTTCTTGGCTCGGGGTCTGCTTCGGGAGGCATCCAATCTAAGACTCTTCCCTGACCACTCCAAAGAAAGCTCCACCCACTTTCCCCACACCCTCTCTCCTCTGTACTTTCTCAGCAGAATTTTGTCACAATGTGAAATCTTTCTAAGCTAGCGGCTCTGTCACTCACTAGCTAGTCTGTGAGCTCCATGGAGGGCTGGGACTTCCCGTGTTTTGTTCATTGCTCTGGCCTCAGCCCAGCCCGGGGCAGGCACACAGTAGGCACTTGATGTAATTGTTGAGTGACTGCAGATTCCCTTTTCCTTTTCATCTTCACTGTCCTCTTTGGTGATTTAGAAACAGCAGCCTGAATCTCTAGGAGTGTGCAGAGGTTGGACAAGTTAGCTGCAGCCCCAGAGAGGTGGGTTGGGGCCCAGGACCTGCTGTCCAACCCAGTGTGGCCACCACTAACTGCTGCCCCTCCCAGGGAGGCACTCACCTGAATGTCGGGCGAGACACCACCGCTATTGGGGGGGGGGGGTCATTTCTGCCCCTTGTCCAGGAAAATGCCCCCATTTGAAGACATCTTTACAAATCTCATCCTCCTTCCTCTTAGAAGCTGGGGGCAGCAGGAGCTTGCATTAGTTTTTTGAGGCAGTCATAACAAATGACATAGATTAGGTGGCTTAAGCAACAAAAATTATTTTTTTTCAGTCCTAGAGGCTGGAAGTCCAAGATCAAGGTGCCAGAAAATTAGATTCTGATGAGGGTTCTCTTCCTGGCTCACAGATGGCCGCCTCTGCATTGTGTCCTCTCATGGCCTGGCCTCTGTGCTCGTGTAGAAAGAGAGCTCTGGTGTCTCTTCCTCTTGTCATAGGACACCAGTCTACCAGATTAGGACCCTATACCCTTATAACCTCGTTTAACCTTAATTGCCTCCTCAAAGGCCCTATCTTCTAATATAGTAATCTTTGGGGTCAGGGCTTCAGCATATGAATTTGGGGGGGACACAATTCAGTTCACAACAGATCTCCTTAGGAATAACATGATCCCAGCCCATGCTGGCCCCAGACTGCAAAGAGCCCGGGGGAGCTGGGCACCCGCTGTGAGCTGTGCTAGCCCGATGGTGGGGCTGGCGCAGGATCATCAATCATGACGATGCCACAGGGTGGAAGAAGATGAGCCTCAGATAGCACTGAAGATGAATGGGGAAACTGACATGTGATTAAAGTGGGATCCTCCACTCTGCGTGCAAAGTTAGCACAGCCAGCCCCGGCTCCCGGCACCCACGGAGGCGCCTGCCCCTCCTCCTGCTGGGGGAAAGGGCTCTCCCTCCAACCATGTGGCGTCCTGTCATCCCTGCCCTGTGAATGAGCGGGTGAGGTGTGCAACGGGACCAGTGCAGGTGCTGGGGACTGTGGGGAGGCGATATCGTTAGTCGCCATTTCAGGCTGCCCAGCTCTTGTAAATAATTAATAACAATGAGGGAGCTGGCTGAGCACTTGCTATAGGTACCTCCGATGCATTTTCTCATTTCAAACCAGGGAGATCAGAGTTAAGTCAGGAGGTGAGGACAACAGCTTCTGGAGCAAACAGACAAAGGGACACATTCATTCATTCATCCAACCAGTTTTTATTGAGCACCTACTGGGACCATCACATCCGCACCACGCCCATCACACCCACGAAGGTGAGAAAACCCCACATGGTCTCTGCCTTCATGTGGCTACATCCTAGTCAGGGACACAGATGATAAAAAACTCATTCAATATGGCCATTTCAGATAGTGACAAACACTAAGAAGAAAATCGATTAAGATGATGAAAGAGAGGGTGGGAGAGGAAGCAACTTCAGACCGGGTGGTCAGACAAGGCCTCTCAAAGGAAGGGACTTCTGAGCTGAGACCTGAAGGCGAAAGGAGCTGGCCGTGGGAACAGCTGGGGACAGAGTGTTCTAGGCAGAGAGAACAGCAAGTGCAAACGCCCAAAGCGGGATGAGCTCGGGATGTCTGAAGGATCGGAAGGAGGCTCGTGTGGCTGGCTTTGCAGCCAGTGTGGGTGGGGTGGCGTCAGAGACGTCAGGGCTTCATAGGCCAGGGTAGAGAGTTGGGATATTTGTTTAATGGGATCCCTCTGGAAGATTGTCAGTAGCAGGGCTTTCAATAGGATTGGATTTATATTTTAAAAGGCCCACAATGGCTGCTGAATCGAGGATAGATAGAAAAGCAAGAAGGGAGAGCAGAGCAGTTAAAAGGTATCGAAGCTACGGAGGCTTTGCACCATCATCATCCTCACCATCATCACCACCACCACCAACACCATCATCATCATCACTACCGCCAACGTCGTCATCATACTATCCTCCTCATCAATCACCACCACCATCGTCACCGCTACATCACCACCATCACCATCATCACCTCACAGGGTGAAGCAGGCTCGAATGCCACCCACTGCCCTCCAGCCTGTGCCGTTTCAGCGTACGGAGGCTGGCTTCTAATCGACAGCACCTGTATCTCTTTACTCGAGCACTTTCTGTGGCTACTGGAGCCCCTGTGCCTGTGCTCAGGCAGGCTGGCAGTGCCAGGGCACCCACACCCACACTCCTCAGGAGCGGCCCTTGACCAGTGACTCACAGGAGTTGAATAAACATCCCTGCTCCCTTGTGTTTTCCAGAACACTATTTGCACTCGCATCTTGGCCTCAGGTTCTGCCTCTCGGAGAACCCAAACCTAAGACGCTGGATCATTGTGAAGAGTAAATTTGTAAAGCTCTTGGCATTACTAAATGCCCAGTAAATTCATTATCGGATGAACAAGTCAATGAGGCTTCTCCTGCCCTGAGGAGACAGACCCAGGGCAGGGGAGAGAGCTGGGACCACAGGAGATAAGAGGGGTGGTCTGGAGGATCCCAGAGACACTGTCCCTGCAGCAGCTGCTGTCGTCCCTCCATCCCTCCCTGTTCCCAGTCCTCTCCCTGGCCACTGTGGTGGTTGCAGGTTCAAGACATGGGCAGGCCACACCAGCCAGAG